CCAGGAAGAGTCAGCTAGAGAGAAAAAAACTCTCTCAAGCTTTCATAAAGAGCAAATTGGTCAAGCAACGGCCATGACTCATCCAGATGGCTGACACTGACAAAAGATATACAAGGTGTTATACATGGTTTCAGGGTAAATCCTGAGGGGATTTGACTGACCTTGTCAGATACAAAAGTTACATTTTTATTTATATAGGTCTTGTTTTAACTTGGTCTTAACCATCCAGCAGAAAAGTATAACCATAAGGTATAAAAAGTAAAGCCATTCAATAAAACTTTGAAAAGAAAAAAAAAATTAAAAAAAAAGTAAAGCCATATTAATATGCTAAGCTGTAAAAGGCTCAAGTCAACAACTTCAGGCAATCCGCAGTTGTGCTGATAACCCATTACTATTATGGACTATTGGACTATATGGGGTTATTTTGCTGAATTCAAGAACCTACAATATTTGAACTGGCATCAAGTATGAAATAGTCCTTTAAAGACTTCTCCAAATATAGCTTCTCTAATAACAATGGAGGAACAGAATTCCTAAAACTACTTTGAAAAGTGGCAAGACGATGAGACATACATGTTTGCAGCAAGAGGATATTAACGGCAATGTATCTTTACAATAATAAAATTGCAAATGCAAAAAAAAAAAAAAAGGAACACCCATATCTGACAAAGCAAAACAAAAAAAGGAGATATAAAGGACCATTTTGTAGTGAAAAGAAAAAAAAGTATGTCTATATAAAATAGGATATACAGCTACCTTCTATTAGTTCAATGAGAAGAAATGTTTGTACTAATATTGTTTAGACAATATATCATGTCTGCCTCTTGTCTTCTGAATAACTACTAAGAAGATAAGAATATGCAATGTATTAATTATTGTAAGAAACTGTTTTGAAACTATTTCGTTGCTATTTTTTCTCATTAAAATGAATAAAAATTTAAAAAATAAAAATAAAAAAAGCTACAGGCCAATCTCCCTAATAAACATAAATGCAAAAATGCTCAATAAGATACTGGAAAACAGAATACACCAAATCATCAAGAAGATTATATAAAAAAAAATAATACACCATTAATAAGAAAGATTCATCCCAGGGATGAAGGGATGTTTCAACATACACAAGTCAATAAATGTAATACACTATATTAATAGCCAAAGAGAAAAATCACCTGATCATCTCAATAGATGTAGAGGGGCCGGGGAGATGGCTCAGTAGAATAAGCTCTTCCCTGGCAAGCACAAGGGCCTGAGTTCAAGCCTCTGTCCCACAAAGAAACAAAAAAAAAAAAAAAAGAAGAAGAAAAGAAAAAAAAGTAACTCAATAGATGCAGAAAAAAATCCAACACCCATTCATGATAAAAGCCCTACAGAAAATCAGAACAGATAGTCTTTACCTCAATCTGATAAAAATCACCTATGACAAACCAAAAGCCAATATCACAGGAAAGCGTCACACACTGAGAGCTTTTACTCTAAACTCAGAAATAAGACAAGGGTGTCCATTATCACCACTCCTTTTCAAATAAGATTCTGGAAACATTAGCCAAAGCATAAGAGAAAGAAAGAAAAGGAGTATGTTTAAAAGGAAAGAGCAA